ATTATAAATTATAGATTACAAATTTAAAATTATATATTAAATAAAAAAATATAAATTATAAATTACAAGGGTAAAATAGTCTTTTGATCATTTATCTTTATCTAGTCCATCCAACTAAAAATTGGATTCGCTAAAAATAATCCTTTCCAGACATTTAATCCCATGAGAAAATAAACACGGGATACACATCCAATCCAATCAAATAGTCTGGGGATTTACAGTCCGGGGATTCAAGTCCGATGGGTTCTAATTCCCCTTATCCAGTCCGTCCAATCAAACACACCCATAGAGTGTAATTTTAGTAATAGTAACAACGAAAGCAGGTAGGGATGGCAATGGATACCCTACCCTGTGGGTATCCATGGAGACCCAACCCAAATACATGGGTTTTCCCCTCTTTTTCTTATCCATTGGGTAGGGTAGGTGATATTCTGTAAATATCCACAGGGGATGGGTACCCACTAATTTCCCCATATGTTTTTTTTTTTTTTTTAAAAAGTCAAAAAGTTAACCCAAACATCCATATTTTCAACCTCAATTTTTTAGTCCAAAAAGACAAAAAGTGCACTTATTTAGTCTTCCCAAACTTGGCCTTAATCCCATGAGAAAATAAACACGGGATACACATCCAATCCAATCAAATAGTCCAGGGATTTACAATCCGGGGATTCAAGTCCGATGGGTTCTAATCCCCCTTATCCAGTCCGTCCAATCAAACACACCCATAGAGTGTAATTTTAGTAATAGTAACAACGAAAGCAGGGGAGAAGTGAAGATTGAGAACCAAAAACTATCTAAGAGTGAACATTTTCGTTATTTAGTATCAATTATCACAACAGCTAGGGAGATTGGAGCGGATATGGTCCATAGAATTAAGGCGGGGTGGCTTAAGTGGAGGAGTGCATCTGGGGTACTATGTGATAAACGAGTACCCACAAGACAAAAAGAAAAGTTCTATAGAATGGCTATTGAACCAGCGATATTATATAGAATGGAATGTTGGACATGTAAGTAACAACATCTAGATAAGATAAGTGTTAATAAGATAAGGATGCTAAGGTAGATGTGTGGCAAGATTAGAAAAGGCAAAGTTAGGAATGAGAATTTAAAAAAAAAAAAAAATTATTCGTGAATGGGTAGGTGTAGTACCGATAGAAGATAAGTTAAAAGATAATAGATTGAGATGGTTTGGTCATATACAACGGATATCAATATAGTCCGTAATAAAGAGATGCAATACAGTGGCAGTAGATAGAAATGTTAGAAGAAGGGGTAGACCTAGATTGACGTGGGCTAATATAGTAAATACAGATATGAATCTAATTATTAATAGAGTCGAGTGGAGAAGAAAGATTCATGTAACCGATCCCATTTGATAGGATATAAGGCTTGGCTTGATTTGGTTTGGTTATAATGATAGTGTTTAGCATTGAATTCAAATCTGCAACCTGCTTCTTCAACCATAAATTTACGATATTTTGACCTTAGAAAGTTATGGTTAAGTTACACACACACAAAAATCATGCCAAAGTTGGAAGTTCAAAGAATTTTCAGTTCTCATTCCTAATGTAAAATATAATTAGTCAATTAAACAAATCAATTTTTAGTGCAATATAAAACTGTTCATCCTGAAAGCCAGCATTATTGGATAAAAAACTCAACCACCACAAATATTTGGGGTTGCAAAACCTAAGCTTAGACATGTAATATACTATTGTCTTTTGTGGCCATCAACAAAAGAGCAAAAATATATTTCATGATAAATTACCTGATCTGCTACTGCATATAAGATCGCAATGATACATGGCAGACAACAGCAAACAGCAATACCAATTATGCATGCCACAGCAACACAGATTACAACAAAGAACACATCAAATGCCAAAAATGTTATGCAAAGCCTGCAAAACATAACCATACATAAATAATCTGGAAGACCAAGAAAAACAAATAACTCAAAATCTCAATGGAGGAAAATATGTTCAGACAAACCAGTAAAGTTGGGGTGAATCATGTATCAAACCTTCGCCACCAGCAGATACCCAATAGAATCCAATGATCCACCAAATAAATGAAAACATGGTATTTGCAGATTCCAGCTGCTTAGCAACACTGCCACAATAACTGGTTAAGATACTTTATAAAAGTCAAGCATATCAAAAACCTACTCAATAGCAGATCAACAAAAACAAACAATTCTACGCATCAAATGCATATGATCCACCTTCGTCCATGAAGGCCCTAATAATTTTCCTTGCCACCAAGAGCATCATGTATCCAGGTTGCTTCTTTTGCAATCTCATCATGTGCAAAATAAAACAAGAAGGATGTTACTGACTCAATAAGTCAGATTTGTAATGCATTGCCACTCTTGCAGAGCTAAGACTTAAAATACAAATTCAATTTTTTATAAATGAATCCTACCCAGCCTTTTTAATAAAGATGAGATTTCATCCCAGAATATAGCAACAATCCACAGGGAAGCACAAATCTCAAAGATTTCTAATCAAGATATTCTGAGGACCGACAAGGACACAACACGGCACACATGGAAATACTTCCAAAAATATATATTTTATTTACAAACCACCAAACACAATAAACATAACACTCATTCAACACGAAAAAACACTCAATGCATAATTTAAACATCATTAATCTAGAAAACATTATGTCATTAATCAAGAATTATTACATAAGCAATCAAACCACAAACAATTACACACCAATTAAACAACCATTCTTACAAGAGAAATGCACATATGTGTTTAATTTTAGGCGACACACTAACTATGCGCAAGCCTCAACTACAGAGGCGTACGCTTCTCTCACACTTTTCACGCATCCAATTGCGAACCGTAAGCATTCAAAGACTTGGATTTTGAAATCAAAAAATGGTTTAAAAAAAGAGGGTATTTCGGAAACTTGCATGTTATGACTTTGATTTTAATGGAATTTGAATAAGAAGATGTAAACACCATAAACTTGGTCGATCGATCTTCTTCAAATCAGAGTCCAACAACTTCGAAGAAAGCAGTCTTCTTCTCCAACGACTAGGGTTTTGAGGTACGAAGTCCCTCGAGTCAACTCTCTCTAACTCTCGAACTCTCGTTCTATTTTCTGCATCGTCTCTCTCCATCTCTCTCGTTCTCACTCTGTTTCTTGGTTCGTGTTCTCAGTCTGTATCTATACGACTGACGCTGAATTGTATCTATCTATATGTATTACTATATTATTATTATCTTATGTCCTTTTTATAGTTTCTATAATACATTGACATTTTATTATTATATTATTATTATCTAGCTATTTGTACTTATATTTTATTATTTTTATTATTAATTTATAATGATGGATCTTATTTTCTTCTTCTTCTTCTTCTTCTTTATTATTATTACTATTATTATGGCTTTCATAAATTTTATTTACTAATTCTTAATTTTCTTACTCTTTTTATACTATATTTAATTGATTTTAATTCGAAATTCGATAGTCTTACACCTCAATGTCTCACATCTACCCACAACAAGAGTAAAATATGTTACATGGACTCGGGTGCGGGCGTCGGGTGCGGGTATGTATCTAGAGGTCGGACTCATCAAATCATAAATGTGAGATAAAATGGTACTATATGTAACTTATAATGTCAAAATGACATTTATAATAATTATAAAACAATATATACATATAATAATAGTGTTATATACAATTATATAAGAAGTATCTGTTGAAAAATATCCGACACATATCCCATACCCTTGTCCGAGTGTCGGGTGTCCGACACGGGTATTTGATTTATTTTGAAAAGTTTGTATAACATAAAGTAAAACGGCTCGCCTTGCGCTTTTGCCTTTAAAAACTTTGCAAAATAGGGACGAGAGCAACAACTCACTAACACACAGAGCCACATTAATGCAAAAATCAAGGGCAACTGAAAAATTCACTAATCTGGCAGAACTCAGTCTTAAACCTACAAATATCCAATAGGCATTGTCAATTTTATTGTCATGTGCTTATATTAACATTTTATATATCCTTTGGCCACGAAACTTTCTTTCAAAAATTTAATAAGACCTCAAATGTGTCCTATAACATGTTTGGACACAAGACCCAAGTGGCTTCATTGTGTCCCCATCATGTCCAACGAAAAAATAATACTAAATAAATAAGACACATCACATTTTATGTCAGACACCGCTACGGAAACTAAAATGAAATGTCCATGCTTCTAAGAACATTTTCACATCTAAAATACAAGCAACCACAAATATGTGAAGTTGCTCAATCAACTAAGGGTAATTTTTAAGGCAGATAAAACAAATATTAGTTAATATCGTAGAACTTGGCTATTTTGTGCCAAGTCTATCAACTTTCATAAACAAAAAAAATAAAAAGTAAAAGGAATTAAACCATGAAACCTATTGAAACTTTTCCCTCAATCCTACACCAAATTCAAGCATTGTGACATTGTGCAAGGAAAGTAATATGTGAATTGACATGGTAATGCTAGTACTCCAAGATTTGATAAAACCTGAGGGCCAATCAACTATTCTGTTATTGAAAAGTAAGCAACCCTCATCACAGGTAAGCACTACTTCTGACAGATTAATCACGTAACAATCCATTGTCACTTGTTTAACACTAGCACTTCTCATACAACCCTTGGCGTGTGTCTAACTCATCTTCGACATTTCAAATTTCATTCACTCATCAGACACTTTGGCCAAACACACTACAGCCTGACATATACAGTTGGACTTGGACAAGGCATTCTTTAGCATGGAAAGAAGTAATAATTGTAAAGAAAAATCACACTATAGTATTATACAGTATATTAAACCCACCTTATTAGGCGCATATACTCCATTAAAAGTGCGAAGATCACTAAAAGAGAGGCAAGAAATACATAAATATATGTATATAATGGTAAGCTGAGATTGGAAATTTTAGATTTACATATGTCTTATCATTATTTTTCACAATTGCCCCCACTGAAGTTTTGGAAATGATAAGTTTTTACAAATTATCCCTACTAAAATTCAAAAACTATTGTTTCTGTCTATAGTTTTTAAATCATTTTTCATTGACCTTTATGAATTTTTTTTTGTCCCTTCGAAATTTCTACACTGGTTGATAGATTTGTATCTTTCATACTTAAAAAAATTTAGACATAATATTGTCAAAAAAGACAAATGTTAGTATACGGTTTTACCACCATTGGACAAATTTCCTAACTCTGCCCCTACATGTGCAAATAGAGATAAATGGATATAGATATATTCCATGTCCTCGCCATGCCCTTGCTAAATTTCTAAACAAATCCACTATTGTAGATGTGTGCATGATGAAACATAGCTTCATTTCTATCACTTGTAACCAACTAAGACCATCTCCAATCGTTAGTCATACTTTTAACCAAATTGAGTAGAAGTTTGAATAAAAAGCTCCATTTGATATGAAGCACTCCAATGGATAAACCCAAATTTGAGCAAAAATTTGCTCCAAGTGTCAAGTTTTGAGTGGATGCTCCGAGTTGGAGAAAAGAGGAATATGAAATTTTTGGGCAAATGATTATCTTCCCTAAATTTAAAATTTTTCCCCTGGTTGTTAATAATTATCTTACCCTAAATTTAACACACATTTCTTGTAATGATGAAAACAAGTGACGTTCCCCACTAATTCATAATTATTGTTTGTGCAAACATGTACGTAGGAAGAAGAAAAAGAAAAAAAAAAAAAAAAAAAAAAGCATCATCAGGGAAACAAGACGAGAACAATGCGCTATTACCTGGTTTCATCTTCACTCTGAGGCCGCTCCAGGAGATAACCCATAGAGTCCCCTCCTCCATCACTCTCCGAGCTCGAATTCGAATTCATTCTGCTCCACCAACCATTATTCCGCGGCGACCGCAAACTATCAGTCGAATTACGCTGCTGCTGCTGCCGCCTCCAATTATACTCAACCGACACGCACACCATATGAATCACACACTGCAAAGCATAACCTACAATCCAAACCCTCAACGGCACCTCCGGCGACTCCTTCCGGCTCATCACCACCACCACCACAGCCGCCACCGCCACAAACGCCAGGTTCCATACGAGATCGAAAATCACGATCGGCCGCGAATACGCCCAATCGCTCTGCCTCTCCTCGATCTGCTCCGCCGCCGACTCGCGCACTCGCATCGACGGCTCGCGCATCATTCTCCGGCTGCTGGCGCGGCGGAGGAACCGAGCCGCGCCGCGGAGGCTCGGCGCGCGCCGGACGAAGCGCCGGCTCCGGAAGATCTGGTCCGCGAGAAACGGCGTCGCATCGACGCGGTTGTTGTTGTTGTCGTCGGTCGGAGAACGAGATGGTCTCGCCGTCGACATCGTTGGAGCCACTACGGATGTGTGAGAGATCGAGATCGAGAGAGAGAGAGAGTGGAGATTGATTAGGTTTGATGCATCGTTTGAAGAAAACGAAACCCTAGGTGAGAGATTGGAAATGGATGGTGTGGCTTTTGGTGTGGTGTAATTGAGTTTTAGAGGATAATGTTTTTTCGCAGTGGGCCGTCTCAGGTCTGGTGTGGTGTGACAACGCTATTTCAGAATGTGAGAGGGATAGAGAGAGAGAGAGAGAGAGAAGTGACCTTTTATATAGGGTGTTGTACAATAGTAGGTGGTGTGTATTCAAAATTTCAGACACGCCTACACAACGTTTCACACGACACGCCCAACCGTATAGTAGCGCTCCGTTTGGATGGGGTGATATTGACGGAAAATGACAACTTGACAGGACAAAATGAGATATGTCAAGAAAAATAACTTGTCGGTCAGGTTAGGGAAAGGTTATGTACATATTTCTTAAACAACAATTATTTATATCACTAAAAATTACATCATTAATAGCATTAATATATTGGGAATGATAAAAAATAAAATAAAAAAATAAAAACAAGGCATAAAAAGTGACCGGGACCCACTGCCACATCATTAATGCTCTCTTTAGTGATTCCTTTTTAGTGCTCTCAAGCATTTTTCTTTCTTAAATGAGACGTATTATATATGTCTTCTACTTATAAAAAAAAAATAGTGTATAATTTTATATTTTGTAAGTTATGATTAAAAAAAAAATTATAATTAAATATAAAAACATCATAATTAAATATCTTAAATTAATGTCATAATTAAAAAAAACTAATGATAACGAAAAGTGAAAATAATATAACCAAAGGTGCATATAGTATCTAATGTGTATAATAAAATTTCCCATCAAGTTAAAATAGTTAATAAAATAAAATATTCTTTCACATCATTCTTTATTTTTTTACTAGTGTATGTCCGTGTCTGAAGGTACGATGTAAATAATATTGGGATCAAAATGTAACTGTAAATTGTACGTATCATGTTAAAATGTGTAGAGTCTGTAGCACTTGATAACAGATCAAGTCAGCACTCTTACCATTAGTTTGTGGCTAACACCTGATACACTGGTGAGTGTCATAGTATCACAAACCACAAATATCTAACTGAAATAACATAATACAGACAACATGAATACCATAACCTGACAAATAATAATCTTTAGAAATTGTTTAAATATTAAGATGCAAAAAGCAAATATTTGAAATAATTTTTCAATCAATTTGAAGAAAGCATTGACACATCTTTACATTACAGAAGGAGCCCCAATATTAAATTTTCTGCAACAAAGAATAGACAATCTATATAACAAAACACACGAATCGTCGTCCTACATCAGTGAATTTTGCAATCAACTATAAATTGAAAAACTAAATGCATCATATTTTAAAGAAGAAATCAACTCTATGCCATGGCATCCCAACAATATAGCAATACATTTTTCATAAAACCACTTAAATGGTGAAATTTAATTTTGTAAAAAAAAATAATTCCTGCAACTCATCGGGTTTGTCAAATTAATGTGAAAATCATCAATTACATCAACTATAGAATAGAAATTGTTGCTTTACAAAATAGCCAAATTAAAAAGATTTTAAAGTCATTCAATAGCCATCAAGTGTTGCTAGTATCAATGCCTGAAAGAAAATGTATAGTAAGAAGAGTAAATTAAATAAGAAAAATTATAAATAGGTGATAAATTCACAAAATATTTAAAAACTCACTGATTTGCAATTTTCCCAATGAAATAAGAAGATGAGTAAAGAGAGTCAATATTACATCGTCCTATGAAAATAAAAGAGAACATAATTTTATTAGAAGACAATTAGAGGGGGGGAAGTGCATTTAAAAAGGAAAAAAATAAAAAGACAACTGACATGTCCAAAGTAGTGACAATTTATATGTCCAAAGTAATAAATCAACTTACATGTCCAAAGTAATAAATCAATTCAATTCAAAAGAAAATATTTTTTTTGGTACCACGTGGAGAACTCAATTGTAATGAACTGATTCAAAATAAAAGACCAAGTCAACACTCTTACCATTAGTTTGTGACTAATACCTGATAAATTGGTGAAAGGCACAATACCCCGAACTACAAATATTTGATTGAAATAACATAAAACAAACAACATGGATTAGGCCAAATGCAAAGTATAACCTCACAAATAGTAATCTATAGAAATTGTTTACATATTAATGTGAAAATCATCAATTACATCAACTATAGAAAACTTTAGAATAGAAATTGTTACTTTTAATAAATAGTCAAATTAAAAGATTTAAAGTCATCCAATAGCCATCAACTGTTGCTAGTATCAATATTTGAAATGAAAATGATCTTAACATGTTTTCCTCCTATAGTTTTAACATAATTCAGCTCCCCTGATCTTAACATGTTTTCCTCCTATAATCTTAACATAGTCTCGCTACCCTGATCTTAGCATGCTCTTCTCCTCTAGTTTTACTACCTTCTTCGAAGCATTTGACGAAAAATGAGCACAAGTAGAAAAAACTCCCAAGTAAATAATCAACCTCCTCTAATTTTAAATAATTTTAAATAATCAACTCCCAAGTAGAAAAAACAATAAGACAACTAAGGCAATATACTATGATTATGTTGTGTTTTCTTTTGATTTATAAAATAAATGAAAGACATCCTAATAAAATGTCAATTTCCAGTTCATGCTATATCCATTTAAGAGCATCTCCAATGCACTAGGCATATAATACTTGTTAGTTAAAATGCCTAGTGTGATTCACTTTTTTCAATTCCAATGCACTAGGCATATGATTAGGCATTTTGGCTCAACTCATATTCACTAGCTACATGTAGCTAGCCTTCAACGCTAGGCAAAATGTATTCAATCATTAGGATCATTTCCCTCCATCTTTGTTGTTGAAGTGGCATTCTATAAAATTAATAGTATTTGGATACATAGCTAAAATAAAGAGCATGGTTAAAGTAAAAACATAAAACAATTGATAGGCAAAATAAAATGTATACTTTATAGTAATATTTAGATAGGTAAAATACCTACTACCGTTGGAGATGCTCTAACAATATCCAAGACACATGTCAAAACATAGAGTTGCAATTGAATATACCAATCAAGTAAAGGGTTGAACACATGACTTTCAGGTGTAATTAAAGCATGATCTCTTCCATAAACACTGCAAGTAAACCCAAACAAGTTTGTCCTAAAAAAAACAAAACAAAACAAAACAAAAAACAAAAACCAAAAACAGAGCTCCCCTATTAAACTTTAAAAAAATTAAAAAAAATTCAAAAATGGAAGTAATAAATAGACCAAGCAACCATATGCCAATATTAAATCTTAAAAAATTCAACTAAGCACCCTAAACAAATGTTATGCAATAGGAAATGACTATTAAATCTTAGAAATGACAATATTAAATCTTAAAAAATTTCATGAACTAAAAAAAACTTCATGAACTAAAATTTCATGACAATATTAAATCTTAAAAAATTTCATGAACTAAAAAATTTCATGAACTAAAAAAAAACCTTACCCAATGGAAGCAAATTATTGTTGGATACCTTTAATGGGTTAATATGATGTAATGAAATGCAACAAACATATATTGCAACAAAAACAAAAAATAATTTAAACAAACATCAAATAGCTCCAACTATTAATAAGTATCAAAAATATATTGCCCAAATCCACCATAGCACAATCTATAAATTTTGCATTTATAAGTACAAAAGGAAAACAAAAGGTATGGAGTTTCAAAAGCAAAATAATATCTAACAATACTAAATTTTCAAAATGAGCATGAGAAGTAGCTGACCTTAGATACATTTAATTGGAACAAAGGAGAATGAAACCTGTTATAGGAAAGAAACATGTTCTAGATGAGAAATCAACAATTATGCATGAAAACAAAATACAGACACACCTAAAAACACCCATACAGAGATGTCCCAAATTAACGTGCGCATCTTTAAACAAAAATAAAGCCATTAAATTAACCAGAGGTAAAAAAATTAACAAATAATCTATCTATTAACAAATAATCTTGAGACAAAAATAAAACACATCAATCACTTAGTACTTTGCTTCCAAGAATCAATTTATTAAAATTAACAAATAACAAAAGCTTTGCACATCCACACAATTTTAAAATAATAATTTCACTCCAAACATTAAATAAAAATAATAAATCAGTCTTTATGAGGATATTTTCAGGGATTGGTAACACAATCTGACTCTAAACAACATCAAAAGAAAATATTAATGAATGTTACCATTTTTCTTAGCAAATGGTGCAAATGAGTAGAAATATATGTAGTAACAAAGGGTGGAAATATATACTTATGCACCTAAAGTGGACAAATAGATAGAAAAGAAGAAAAAAAAAGTATATATTTCATAAAGTCAACAGCCAAAGTCAAAAAGCCAACAAATAATTTCATAAAAAATAATTCATCCATTGGATGGTCAACCACTAAAACGTCTCCAAGATATAACTACGCTAACCTTTGTTTCACAAAAGATATATATGATAAAGAAATATTTCAATGTACATAACAAAATATCTAACCTTAAAGAAATATTATGAGAATTGAATTATTAACCTTAAAAGATCTAAGAATTGACTTTCCAAGAATTACTAAAATGATTGTGAAATAAATACCCAAAAAATGTGGACAAAAGAACATTATCTCATAGTACATTATTTCTGAAATTTGTGGATTTTGTGGACCTTGAAAGATAAATAACTGAAGTACTAAAAGATAAATAACTACCACGTGAACCTATTCCTGAAATTTGATTTCAACCAAGTGAAAAAAAAAAAAAGAAGAAGAGGAAAAGATAAAAAAAAATAAATTGGTTTACTTAATTTATTTTTTTCTTCTATAAATCGGTTTTGCTTCCTCAATTTAAGAAAAGTTATGATACAATGCTTTAGGCATCGATAAATTGCAAATAATGTCTTGCTCATTATGAGCTTGTGCGAGAAACTAAACACCAACAATTTAATTATTTTAAACTGTGTTTGGATCATGAACTTGATTATGTATTTGAAAAAGGTAATAAAAATGAAAAAGATGTGAATTATATTTCATTCATATTTTACTAACTTTTTTTCTTTTATCTTTCCAAATCTCTACCTAACACCATGATTCAATACCCTTAATAAATTACATTTTCTTAAACAAAACAAAGAGAGGAAAAAAATTA